TTCCCAAGGGAGACAACTGTGATCAGCCAATCAAAATCGTTGTTTCTCCTGATCTTTGGGTATTGTAAACTGCAAATGTGCTAAATTTTGAACTTGTTAGGAACTCAGAATATTGTAGAAATCGTGATCATGGCAGACCAATTTCAATTACAAGAAGGTTCTTACACAGCTTAAGAAGTAAATCATGACTGATTGACAAAGTTAAAAGATACAGTTCAACCATAAACATAATAAACAGTAGCTAATGGACAAATTTTACACTTATGGTAACAGATCATACATGTTGTCATTCTTGAAATTAAATTACCAAATCAATTAAAGTACAATATTCTATCTTTTAATTTTCACAAGGGATCAGATATATTTCCTTCTTTGTGCATATTTTTATATTTGAAAAGTCAACAATCACTTTAATATTCCTGTGACCAATAATCTGATAATCCACCTTTAAGGTTCATCTAATATACACCAACAAAAAAGGCTGTGTTTACAGCATGAAATTTTCTCTGAATGCAGACAAAACTGTGTAATTCTAATAGTTTTAAATCCTGGCAGCACCTGGCCACAACTCCTCTTTTTCCTGTGGTACCTGAAAACAATAAACCGGTTTGGTACATTGTTGAGGTCTGAAAGTGACTTATAACTGCCAACAGCCACATTATTTGGACTCTGGTAGATAGTACATCAGACTGTTATCTCATTGGCAATCACACCCCATCTCCTTATTTTATTACGGGTCAATTATTTGAAATAAATGACTACGGTACTCAACATTAAATCATTTGAAAAAAAATAATTTTGCAATAATTTATGTTGTCATTTTAAGATTTCAGTGTAAGCTTGCTTACTACAGCCTCTTCACAATGAAATTAAGTTGTATAGATGGTGTCACTTTGTTTATAATTGTGAAACTAGTATAACAATACTATTGTCTAAATCTACAAAAATTGATCATGTTTAGGTAACTGAAATAACAATGTGATTTTGTCACTAGGTCATCTGTAACTTATCTCTTGAATAAGGACTATGTTGGGTATAAGAGCTTTCTTACTACAGGCTCTTCATAATCATTTTGTTAAATAATTCTACAAATAAGGGAAACACATTCACATATTACTTTGAATATTGTAGATTGTTCAGGTAGGCTTGAGCTATTTCTTTGTACAGCAGAACAACTAGTAGTTATTTTCACTTCACACACATATATATATATCTTGACAAACAAATAAAAATGCTATAGATTGTGGAAACAATTCATATCTATTCTATCAGTCACCCTACCTACCATAAATTGAAACGTCGCCTAAGATTCAGTAGGTAAATAAAGTAAAAATCAAGACTTGTATCAAAAATATCCCAATATGAGAGACAATGGCGTCATTTTTACTTAGAGCTTTCAGCTCTTTGATTCAATTTTATCAATCAAAAGATGTGTATTGTTGTCCCAGGTAACATCAGCATATTCTAATGATGGTCTTATATATGTTAGGTATATTGTCTCGAGTGTTCGTCTGTCAAGGATGAATTTAAATTTTCGTAGAACATTCAGTCGTTTGTATGTCTTTTCGGTTATAACATTCATATGTTTATGCCAAGTGCCATCGTTTGAAATATGTAATCCAAGGTGTTTATGGGTGGATACCTCAGTTACAGTTACGTTGTTCATGTGAACTACCATTTCATCGTACTGTTGTGTCATCTAATGTATAAAACATAATTTATCAAAATTATTCAAATTATAAGAACGTCTTTAAATCACTGAGATCAATACATAAATTAAATGTCTATAAGAAACATGCATTAACTATAAACATTGCACAAACTATGAATTGACCAATCAGGAGATCATTTGAGCCTTTAGCACTTTTACAATATTCTTAAATTGTAAGAAAATGATATTATATACTTAGTAATATATAAATAACACTTAGCTGAGAGGGTGATAGAGCAGATTGTTACCTTGAGAAAATATTGTCAACTAAGGCGAAGCCAAGATTGACATTGTCTTTTCGAGGGGTAACAATCTGCTCTATCACCCTCTCAGATATGTGTTATTTAATTTATTATACTGAATGTTCTGTTATTACTGTCTATTGAATTTCAAATTCAAAATAATAAACCATGTTGTCTTGTACATAACAATCATTCGTATTTATTAAAGCGCACACTTTAGCAAGCGCCTCCGTGAAGGGTAATAGAGTATTTGCCATGGGATAGAGTAAATTGTCTCCCTCGTATTAACCAATCAAAATCTGGCATTTTGACATGAAGTATGATAAATCATATTACATAACCATACATCGTGATTAAGTACTGCAGAAATTTCTTTGATTGGTTAATTAATTGATTGTTATTTGCATAACGTCCAGTGGAAAATATTTCATGCGTGTTCAGGATGAGAACCCCCTCCCCCAATTAATTCAATAGACATATCCTGCAATAGGGGTAGACCGGCATGGATGGTCGGACATTTGAAATGCTATTGAAAATGGGGGTATTTTTGATGGGGTCAGAAAATAAGCCACCAACAGACCTTTCAGAGTTGTTGCGCTAGTTATTAAAGTGCGAAGAGCGCAATAATTTCTCTAAACGAGGCATCGGATTTAATGTCCTCATTTTGACCAGACTTGGCTGCGAATTTATACATCCCACTCAGCAAAAAGGATGCCCAACGTTTGCAAGTGTTTTACTGCTGGTAATTACTATCCTTTAGAGCCCTATGTTTAACATAACGGTTTTCAATATTTAAATTAGATAAGGTAATACCCATTTAATTCCTTTCTGCACGGACGATTTCGGCGGTCAGTATATAAAGAAAATTTAAGGCGCGCTTGACCAAAGCGACGTTACTGTCAAGATAGTTAGGACACAGAAGCTAGATTTGTACATTATTTCCCACGCACCCTACCTTAGAAACCTTCTTACATATTACCTTTTCAGTTCGTATCGACTTGTGTATGGTGAATTTTGATGCATTTATGTATGTCTGATTGTAGATATGTTAAAAATATTATATTAAATGTGATCTTGTAGCGAACGCACAACCCTATACTGTGTTTGTTTTTTTCAATTATATCTAGTTAAGAAAAAAAATATTCTCGGAGGAGTGAAACGAGGGATAAAATAAAGAAGACCAAAATTGACAATATTTCTTAACCCCACTGAACCTTAGAGTAAATTTTCTTTGGACATTTACTTCAATCCCAGTTAACCGGTTAATCGGTCGATTATTTAAATACATGTGTAGCACCCGGCAATAGTTTTCTCTGATATTGAGTAATGAGGGTCTGGATGGGGTTTACTAAACAGAGAAGTGCAGAATCAAGCGCAAGAAAAAAAAAAGAAAAAAAGAATAGAGACAAAAAAGCCAAAAAATAGATATTAGTGAATAAGGGAAGTTATGAAGAATAGAAAAAAGTGGTCTCAAAAATTAAGGATTAAAGAACAGAAAGATCTCCATCCACACCTTCAATAATCCTTCTGTCCGTTTCTATTACCGCCACCGCTATAATATTGAAATGGAAAGATTCACTTTTCTGTTTAACTAGTTTGACAGTTTTCTACTCAGGATTTTGCTCAGTTTCGATAGTCACAATAAACATATCTGAATTGTTGGAAAATATATCGGTCATTTTACATGAATATGTTTTAAAAGAAAGGCTTTTGTATAATATGAATTTATTATTAAAAAAATCTGGAATCTAACATATACATTATTTTTCAACATTTTGATATTTTCCCTTTCCGTTTATGACTTTTTCTTTGTGGAAATTGGCATTATCTGGACGCTGCAAATTCGAACTTTAAAAAAAATGTCAGTAACTGTATGCTCATAACAGAAAATTCATACCAAGAAAGATTTATAAATATGGCATACGGAATAAAGCAAGTTCATTTTGTATATTTTAAAAATATAGGTCTTTGACCTATATTACGTGAAAATAAGCGCAAAATGATTATTTCGTATTGATACTTATGAGACTAGTTTATCTATCTAATAAAGAATGCGACGATCATAAGTTTTTTAAATTTCTAATCTGAACACTGCATGCTAAGTAAGTGGACGCTTACTAATTTTAAAAACAATGTGTTTCAATACCATTGCTGAAAAAATTGCACATTCAGACGTAAAACGCTCTTGACATAAAGAATCTTGTCATTTTAACTTTAAATAGACATTGATAATTCTGAACTCATAGTGGATGATGCAGAATTAGTGAACCGCCTCGGTGGTCTCGTGGTAGCATGTTCGCCTCGAGTGCGAGGGGTTCTTGAATTCAAAACCCGACCGGGTCAAACCAAAGTCTTGAACATTGATATTTGCTGATTCTCCTCTAAACACGCGACATTTAGGAGTGAGAGCAAAGACTGGTCGGCTCGGAGTCAAAATAAGATATCCGGGTAGGATGGCATGTCTACCAGCTGACTGTTATCTTATGAGCTAGCACGTTGAAAATCAGGATTAGCGGGTCGGTCTAGTACAAAACAGGGTTTATATTTATATCATATTATCATATTCTCGTCTTGAATATGCATTTAATCCCCCACTGGACGTTAAACAGCCATATATCCGACCATCACAATCAGCGTATTTCGTTTGATACATATTTTATTATCGTCGTCCAATCAAAACCAAACAGGTTTTCATGAATCTGTAAGAGTTATATCCCCTTATATACATTGTAACGGCATGAACATGACAATTAAAAAAAATATTGTTGCCTGGAAAAGGTTTTCATGTTTTGAAAAAAAAACCTATTTCTTCAAACACGCATTGCGTTTTCAACCTAAATAAGTACCCTATACAATTTTTGCTAAACTTTCAATGTCAATATGTATCAACCGTGTAAATACAATGTAGTACCATTCTATAATGTCATATACATTTTTTACATGTCTGTTTCCTGTGACCTACTAAGGAAATAACCATGAAATATACGGAAATATAGTTGTTTGCTAAACGTTTTTACAATTCGTTAGTCTATAAGGAAGTTATACAATGGTCTGAGTTTTATGTTAATTTTATAATTACAGAGATGGCAATGAAGGAACATTTTCAATCGTCAATTTTAGTTGGTTTGCTCATAAGTAAGTGGTTTTTATCGGACATTGTCAATTTTAATATGGTATTTATATCTATTCATAATGTTGCATATTGTAAACTCAATTAAAAAAAAGATAAAACGGCTTATACATGATGACATTTTATCTTGATTTTCAATATTAATATAATATTCGTTGTAAGAATCTAATTGATGCTAAATTGTCAAGACAAATGGAAAATGAATTGAAATGTAGTATCGCGGTTTTTTGTCTCGCCGGCGACGAAAGTATAATAATCCGGCGGCTGCTGCGTAAAGTATTTGATTAAAGCTTATATTTCAGATAGAAGAAGACCTGGATGCTTCATACCTTGTGTTCAGATACCTGATGTTACTAAGTTTCTGTCTGTCATATGTCCATAGTACTTGACCTCATTGTCATAGTTGATTGACTGCTTGAAAAAAAAAGTTTTTTGTTAAGTGAAATACTCACTTATTATGAGTAATAGGATAACTATATTTGATTTATGGGCCCCTTGTAACGTCTACTTGTCCGTCAGTTAAGGTTCACCTAACCTCGACCTTATTCCATGGATGAGTGATCAAGGTTAAAGTTACGTAGTCAAGTCCGTACCTCAGATACTATAATTAATAGGTCAACCATATTTGGTGTATGGAATGGTTGTAAAGTGTACATGTCTATGTAGCATGGTTCATCTCACCGTGACCTCATTTTCTAAGAACATTGATAATGTTATTAATAAGTTCATTTGATACTTGTAGTAAAACCTTCATATTTAAGACTTTCAGCATGAATTCAATAAGTAAAACAAGCACGACATTTCAGCGTGTGTACTCTTGTTCAATTCTTGGATTATGGTAAGGGATTATGTTTAGAAATATATCCAGGTTTATCTTATTCATGAAATCGAACACACAAAAGGTGCCAATCTAACGTTTGAAAAAGCGTAATTCATATTTCAGCTGTACCTTCTAATTCTGTATCTAATATTGTAACTAAAAGAAAGAAATACTTGATAAATTGCATGCGTCTAAAAAGCGTTTTTCTGGATCTAAACTGATAATGTTTTATCGGAGAAAATTTTCTTGATATCCTTTATATTTAGTATTAAATCCAACTTTAATAAATAAAACCGATAGACAAATTAAAACTTGAATAGCCATCATCACGAAAAAAGTCATATATCGACAAAAAGCTTTTAATGTTACACGTTTTCAGCAGTTAAACTCGTTTTTTTGTTTACATAATTTGACACTGAAAAACGGGTTAACTACGTTCCAATGCTATGTATTTAGTAAACGTGTCCCGTGTAAGGCAGTATCATGTTTAACTCACTGTTTAACTTGTAAATGACATAATTTGCGTGAATTGAATACTAGACACAGCAATAATACCGTATCTTAGAATTATGAAACATTAATAAATCAGATGAATGTTTGAACATGGTCCTTCTATAAGATGATTGATTGATTGATTGTTGGTTGCTTAACGTCTAGTGGCAAACATTTCATGCATATTCAGGACGAGAACAAATTAACAATAAATACAATAGGTAGGTTCTGTAATAGGGGCGTCCGGGTATAAGGTCGGAGAAATTTAGACTGCCACGGGAAATGAGGATATATTGGATAGGGACAGAAATGTACGGACCCCTCAAAGAGTTGTTGCAAGGGTTCTTAACGTGCAAAGAGCGTGGCACTCTCTTTACACGAGGCATCGGATTTAACGTCCCCATTCTGACCGGACGTGGCTGCAAATTTGTACATCCCGCACAGCCAAACGGACGCCCCACTTTAGCACGGGTTTTACTGCCGGTCGGAGGAAGACCAATGGTGACCATACTTCTATTCCCCAGTCACCCTTGGGGGGTTCTATAAGATGTGCTAACTCGTTCAGGATGAACAGTACAGCGTATCCCTTACTCATCACTTAGCTAAAGACAATGCGTTTTCTTAAAGGGCACACAATTGTCTTAAAAATCACATTGAATCGTCAGCTTCAATCTTTACTCGCATTGTTCAAAATCAATTGAAAATATTACGAGGCTGATTGGCTGTCATACAAGTAGCCTTGACGAGTACGCATACATTGTACTTCTTTCAATGAATCCAGTTTTCTTTAATTTCAACTCCTACGAAATTATGTTATGTGATAAGAAAGATGTGTTAAAGCACCAAATATACACTAGTTTTAGTGGCTGTTTCTAATTTTGTGTTTATCAATTTGGCCACGGTTTTGTATGCTTTTTTTTTTTTAAACTTTGATGGACTCCTTTGGTATCGTCTCATTCCTTTGATATACTGAATGCGCGGTAAAAATGTTTTATTATAAAAAAAAAGTATCGTATTCATCTGATGGGAAGCAGGGAGGATCATTGGTTTCGTATTTCTATCCATTGTTTCATTTAGAATTCGACTAACCAATTTATTTATCCAAATGTAGGTGCGACATTTGCAATAAAACTGATTCTTCAAGGACCAAAATATACAAGAAGGAATGATATTATCTCTATCAATTGTTCAACTGACACCCCGTCTGTTGGATTAGAAGCTGAGATATTAATCAATTCAAAAACTTACACCAACATGAGAACTCATAAAAACGAATGTTTTTCTGCAGTCCAAGGATTGGAGTGTGCAGAAGATGTTTGCCAGTGTTCAAAAAGAGGATATTGGTTTTCACACAAATACTATGTGAATGTAGATAATGTAGAAAATTATATTTTGAAAATAACTTGTGTAATGAAATATGGAGCTGATGGTGGTTACAAAGTTTCCAAGAGCATTTCTATCAAAATAATAGGTATGTACTTGTAATCAGAGATAGCAAAGCTTACCGATACACGAACAATTAACGAGGGTCTAGATGGGGTCCTTCATTTCTGTATTCTTTAATTTTTAGACCATTTTTCTCTATTCTTTATACTTTTTGCCCATTATTCTATATTCTTTATATTTTAGCACCTCATTATTCTCTATTCCTTATTTTTTTTTGGTCCATTTTTCTCTATTCTTTATATTTTTTCCCCCATTATTCTCTATTCTCTAAACCACAATCCACACCCTCAATAACACAATGGGTACCACATAATTAAACGTACTTTCTTTACTGGTAGTGCGGCATTAAGGAGTGAGAGCAAAGACTGGTCGGCTCGGAGTCAGAATAATGTGTCCGGGTAAGGTGACATGTCTTCCTGCGGACTGTTACCTTGTGAACTAGAACGTTAAAAATCCGTCTCAGCGTGTCGGTCAAGTACAAAACAGGGTTCATATTCATATAACATTAACATGTTCTCGTCCTGAATATACATATTAATTTGCTGTTGGACGTTAAACTGCCACCAATCATCATTCTTTACTGGTAGTGATCTTCAGGTTTCAAATGAGTCTTTAAACAACTGCATTTACACAAGAGTTGAAAACTTAACAAAAAAAAATAAAAATAAAAAAATAAATAAATAGAAATCATCCCCGAAAAAAGAAGAGAATAAATAGCCTTGAAGAGCAGATGTAAACATGAACATATAAATCGTTTACATCGGGAATATTTATTTATAAAAAAAAATCATAAAGACTTAAATTGCGCATATCTCGATATTATAAATTACAATGCATATTATATTCTGTGTTTTCAATCAAATTATAATAACAAAATGATTTCTTTTAAACATTACATCTACATTTTGATCCTTTAGATTTTTTAGATCCTACATTGAAAGTTGGTTCACCCCTAGTGGCTGGAACAATTGCACGTGTGACCTGTCAGGTTTTGACAAACCTTAAAGACGTCATTTTGCAGTGGAACTGTGGAAACAATGGACGTGAAAATACAACAAGAACATCTCACACATATATATCAGTGTTAACTTTTAAAGTAAAACCGTTTCATCAAAATACTAATTGCACGTGTACTGGTAGGTTTGATGAATTTCAAGTTTCATCGACTATACAATTGGATGTAGACAGTAAGCATATCAAAATAGTTATTCAAACAACGAAACGCGTTTTTTGTCGTTGTGGTCTTTACATAATCAAAATAGCCACTTATATACCTCGATTAACCAACATAATGACAATTTCATATATAATTTTGTGTAAAGGCAGTTTTTTAAAATTGATAAGTTTAATGAATTTGAATGTCACTTCTAGGTATTTTCCAACCTTTTGCCGTTATCAGCTTGTTATTTTGTATCAAAATAATAATATCTTTTAATGTGGAGGGTCATATTTTGCAAGTCTTTACATGACTGTCTAGAAACGGATGATGTGTTGTCCTTGCGTACTAAAAGTGTTGCTAGAAAAACCTTTTTCGTTTAAATATTACGTTTTAGTTACCAGACAACCAGACAACAGGAATCATACTGTAACATATTCGTTCTGTTCTTGTTAACCTTAACCATTAGCATTGTTTGTTTTGTAAATTATTTCTCACTATTACCTTCAAACAAGATTAGTCGCATGATAGACGGTACACCAATAAGAAAAGAGGGGCGAAAGATACCAGAGGGACATTCAAACTCATTCATCGAAAATAAACTGACAACGCCATGGCTAAAAAAGAAAAAGACAAACAGACAAACAAAAGTACACAAAACACAACATAGAAAACTAAAGAATAACTAAAGAACCCCACCAAAAACTGGGGGGTGATCTCAGGTGCTCCGGAAGGGTAAGCAGATCCTGCTCCACATGTGGCACCCGTCGTGTTGTTCATGTTATTACAAACCCGGTAAATAGTCTAATTCGGTAGGTCACATTCGTGAAAAGGGAACGGGATTGTAGTTACGATATTAGGAACATATCCGCTATCATCTGTGAAACGGTCAAACAACTCGTGATGGCGTCCGTAAAATTTACGAAGGGATGATTTCAACTTCACCATTTGGAACTCTTGATTTAATAGCTTCCTTGTGAGCATCAATCCTCTATCAAGGAAATCATGATAGGAAATACAAGGCCTGGAATATCGTATCAATTGCGAGATATATACTCCGTATGCAGGTGCTACTGGAATGTTGCTACATAGAAATGGAAAGTTCACAACTGGGAAGCTTAAATCGTCTCTTTTGTCGTAAAGTTTTGTTTTCAACCGACCCTCATTGTCAATTTCTAGATGTAAGTCAAGATATGAGGCAGATTAAACTGTATCTGTTGTATCCTTTATTTCTAGTTCGATAGGATAGATGCGTTCAACATATATGTTAACAAATTTCATATCACTGTTCATGCATGCCAAAAAATGATATAATCCGTAAGTTTCAGTAAGTTCTCAATTAGACTGACACGAACTGTACATACCATGTTTAGTATGAATTGAAGCGGTTTCACTTATTATAATCATGAAGGCAAAATTAGGTGGTACATTTACCTGTTAAGGTCTTTGAACTTCCTATACTGGTGCAATGAAAAAATTTTTTTTTTAACTTATTACAATTGTCTCTTTTTTGTTTCAGATAAGCCGATATTAAATTCAACAAAGAACGCAATTTGTAATATATCATCATCCGTACAACTGTTCTGTACACTGTATAGCGAAATGTCTTCATTTGGGTTTAATTCATGGACACATCTATTTAATGGTATAGCAGTACGTGTTCTACACGGAGTAACGTATGGGAATATGTCGATGTTAAACATTTCCTTTTGCTCCTACCAAGATGCTGGAATATACCTTTGCAGTGCATGGAACAAATTTAATGACCAAGCATACCATTCAAAAAGTAGTACAACACTTACATTCAATGGTATGAACTTTCTTAATAAAAAGATAATAACTAATATTTAAAGAAATCCTTATTTAGCTTTGCATCGATATCATTATAACAAATAACAAAAAATCGAAAAAAAATCAATGTGCATTTGTAGTTTAAGGGAAGTAACATTTTGGGCTCATGTTACACAACTTTGCCGAATGTTTTGTGAACCAGAATGTAAATGTATCAGGAACAGAAACGATGTGGCTCATGTTTCACAGTCTTTAATTATAAGTGCTCTTACACAATGCGTATCGCACTTGACTTATCTTAAATGATTTTGTAAAACAATTGAATAATTTTCTAAAACTGTAAGTTATTGATGTTGCACGAGTTCAAGAATACGTTTACTTTATCAAACTGACTTGTAACTATGGTAACTTCCATATCAATGGTCAATCTTTGACTCCGTCTGGTCAGTTAAAGTTAATTAAGATTATTATTATTAAAACTACGATTCCCCTCGTCATGTTTCAGATTTTGTAAAACCGATGAAAAATCGTTATTTCGTTTCATTTCATTTTATTTTGATTTGTTTCTGTTTTTAAAGGTCCACCAATAATTTTGTCAGCGAAGATAGTTAGAGAAAATGTCGTTACAATAACAGTCAATTTCTATTCCACCAGTGATATTCAAAGACCGGTTTGGTTTTCAATGTCAGAACCGATATTCAATACAACGGAGTTCAATGCAACACTCAAAAATACAACTCTATCATTACCAGTGCACAACCAATCATTAACTTGTAAAGGTTACGTTGCGAATTTGTCTATGGGAATCTATAGAAATATGAAATATACTGTACTTCTAAAAAATGAATTTGGAGATACAAGAAAAACCTTCGATTTGCATTCAGGTAAGCTACGCATTCATGTACATTGTGAAATCCATAATATATTCTTAAAATCAGTTTAGATGTATTTTAGGGGACGACCATTTGATATTCTGGGGGGGGCCAGGAGGATTTGTTTTGGATCGGTTATTTATTTTTGTAAACTAAGAGGACAGATTATCTATTTTCTGCACTATTGAAGCAAGATTTTTCATTTTCATTAAAGCAAGGGACTGATTATTTATTTTCACAACTATATTTTTAATATTCGAAAACATACAATTTTTAAATTATTTGTTTTTATGATAAATAATTCATGTATAGTCAAGTCATTATGTACCTTTTAATCAGAATTAATTATTATCCTCTGCAGAAATGAATCTTCTATATCCCCCAATGCATATACATGTATTGCATACATACACAGTATTAAAGTTTGGTTGTAACTAAGGCTCTTTTAAAAGTATTAGCAAACATGTTTCGCCGAGCGGATCGAGGCAAAATTTTTTTTGAAGGGTTTTTGAACCGCTGAAGGCCCAAGAAGCTATAGAACAAATGATGCAAAATCATGCCTTCTGGGTGTTCCCCAGACCCTTTCTTAAACTGAAAATGCAAGTTCTGTTGTAATAATTTTATGACAATATTTTGGTCTCAAAGCAAAATATCACGTTATAGATTCAGTGTAAGACTTAAGTTTCTAGGGACAACATCAAAAGACAAATATGCATGATAAAGCAAAAATGTAATTCACATAGTTAATTCTGTGGCTGCTGTGTTTTTTTAAACTCATGATCAAGTTAATAATAAAATTACTAAATTACAAAATGAATGCAACACTAACAGAATACAGAAGGGCAATCAATGAACAAAAGACAAATAAATAAGAAACATTGATCCCGAAAAATCAGGGGCTACATCTGAGGGAGAACAGAACTTGCTTCTTGCAAGGCACTCACAATGAACACAATTTGATATGGAGACAAGCGTTTGGTTTTGAAATTTCCTACATGAGGCATTTGTCTCAATGTAGTTACGGCCCTGATTTAATAAAAGTGAGGTAAGTGTTCCTGAGACAATTAACCTCAAGTTAAATGAAACCAATTTTCTGACATTTCAAGTATATTAAATTTAAATAATATTTATACTTTTATTATTAAAAGATATGGGAAGTGTTTCCCGATTTTTTTTTTGGAAAAAAAATGAATTTAAGAAAGAATCTGGTGCCATCTCATACTTTCGATTAGACCTGCTGAGTTATTTATTTTCAATACATTGCAAGTCAGGTAATTTATTTTCAAACTACCACAGAACAAACCATTTATTTTTGTGATTATCAAGGCTGAGTTATTTATTTTCAAAATCCTCCTGCCCCCCCCCCCCCCCAGAATATCAAATGGTCGTCCCCTTACATTAAAGACAAGAAAATTAAAATATTCTATAAAACACTACGCAAAAAAAAAAGAAAATCTCAGTTAAGATGATATGGGTGTCTTCCGCCAGCGTAGATTGTAAAATAGCAGAACACAATACAGAAGGTCTGGATTTTTATTTAGGTCAGCAAATGTCGATGCAGGAATGCAATCTAATAATACAAATTTTCATTTAAATGAACAAATGTATGTGATCTTCAGTTATAATGACTCATATTGTTACAAAAGAAGAATATTTGTGCTGGATTTAAATTTTTCTAAACTTTGTAATTGAGGAGAGGAATTTCAGAAAAGTATAATTTATGAAGAAATCTTAAGGAAATATTTCTATATTATGTTTAAGCATGCAAAAACGTGTGGACACCCATTTTTCTTTTGATAATCCGAAAGCATTTTTTACTGCTCTTTGGTCGGGTTGTAATCTCTTTGACACATTCCCCATTTCCATTCTCAATTTCATAAGAGCTCACTTCTTATATTTTTTTCAAAATTCTTTCATTTAGTTAACCTTCTATTCACACTATGATGCGTTTTCTCTGTATAATTTATACAAAATGTGTCATTTTTCACAACATGTAGCTTGTAAAGAAGCTCAGTTATCAATCATTTCTACTATATTTTTGAACATATCACTTTATATACTACATTTTGGCAAAGTATATTTTTTTTAATCATTTTTCGTTTAAACTCGTGATTTGCAAGTTACTGAACATTGTATTTATAAGCATATGCACTATTTATCAGTACATTTTCTTTTTCCATTACTAAATAATCTTTGAATACATTTCACTGGTAGTAATTAGTCTAAATCTGGTTATTCAATATTTGTGATTAATATGTGAATATTTGTGATAATTAAATGTACAGGCACATAACGAATTCCCGATGTTCAGTGGAGGGTGATAGAAGTTTAGTGTTGAACAATTCTTGTAACCAATAAAATCCCCCAAATCAATGCAAAAATCAGAATATACGATTCATATGAGTTCTTAAGGAAGTGAGAACAGGTGCACACATATAGCAAGTGCCTCCTACTAAGGCTTGATCACTCGCTATGAGAATCCGTGAGTGAGAAAGGGTATTGTAATCTATTTTATTCTATAGGTGACAAACTGAAAATAGATTTTTATTTCAAGTGAATCTTTAGACCCTTTTAACTTATGTGCTACTTGTTAACAATCCTATCAACTATAAGCGGACAACCAAAAACCTTTAGTCTAAGACAAATTGACAAAAACCCGGAAAATGTTAACCAGTCTTGGCTATACTTTTGGTCTTTTTCGGCTTTATCAGATATCCATAGTTTAAATACACGTTTGAATTTTTATATTTTGGGCTGGGCACCACTGAAGATATCAGCTATCCATAGTTTTAATACACGTTTGAATTTTTATATTTTGGCCTGGGCACCACTGAAGAGACATTTATTATCGCAATGCGTATATGTGACATAACGTTTGGTACCTTTTGATTTTATAACAATGGACAAATGATAACTCCGAAAGACGATACACATTTAACAAGTCTGTGGAACATGAAACTCATGAACGAGTATGTTTAAATATTTGCAGATCTGATTGTATCATTTGACTTTCGATTTTGGATTTTTGGATTGTCGATCTTTGGAGTATTTTTAGTGGCAACGACAATGACTATTGCAATTCTTAGAGGAAAACAGTATCAAAGTGAGTATATCATGGTGACGATATTTGACTAATATGTTTATTCCAAACGATTTATGTAAATGTTTTTACTTTGGCATTGGCCATGGTCATGCTTTTGCAAACTGATTATGAAGGCTTTACGCTGAATTCTTCGGAGGTGTAATCACTGTAAAATGAATTTTAGTCATAAATAACCACTTTGATCTGAAGATACCATGAACAGATTTTTTAAGAGTTTAAGTTGTTATCTCGGATAGTTTTATTAATTGTAAATTATAAATGAACAAGACTTATTTGATAATAATTTATTGTTTGGTCTTTTTAGACCTGTTGAAACATGTAAATGGCCGTTTCAGTTCCAGTTAAATTTTCTAGTGAATGATTTACGCTTTATTTATGATATCCATGTACAAGTCCTAGATGGAAGGACTAACAATATATCTAAAGACAAATTGGTCAGTTGATAGTTTTCACAATTACACAATGGTATAACCAAATTTAATTGATGAACCATAAGCGCATTTTGAACAAAAATGTACATTATTAGTGGTGCCTTTACTTGAAATATATTTTGCATAATTATGAGCGCTTATGGTGCCTTGTTAAACTTGTATGATTTATTGCAAAACACACTTCGTACTTCCTGTTTTATGTTTATATGTAATACATATATCGCTTTGTTTAACACTTATCCGTGCTGACATAATGTTGGCAAAAATCATAATCAATTTTAATTTGTTGATTGTGTCACGTATTAGAGACAAAGAACTAACTGTAAAACACATGTATTGGCGAAGTCCAAACGCGTTTGTTTTAATATCAACAGATTTAAATGTATGTTTTATATTCCATAGCTCAGTCGATACATTAACGTCTTGTACATTTTCTTTTATATTACAGATGTTGTTCATATTGTTGGTCCACTAGAACGATCACCAACTATTCCTATGCAAGTATCTTGATCTACTAGCATTTGTATTGCACATAGTCATAGAAGTAAATGTAGCTCAAAACTCTACAGTTTGAAAGAGAGTATACAAAAGCCCCAAAGGTTCTAAATTCACAATTTACAATAGAATTTTTAAAGTTTGATATTCGATATACGTAGAAAAATAATTAATTAGAGTCAAAATTAAAAAAAATAGAAGACAGCTTTTGTAGGGGGAGTGTGAAATTTTCTGATTTTCTACTTTATAACAGGCGGAGTATTACTGAAAGAGAAAGGGGTAAAATATCAAAGGGGCATTTATACTCATAAGTAGAAAATAAACTGACAACGCCATGTTAGAAAAAGAAAAAAGAGCAAAAGACAAACAACAGTTTGCAAAATACAACATAAAAATACTAAAGACTGAGCAACAAAAACCGGAGTGATCTCAAGTGCTCTGGAAGGGTATGCAGATCTTTCTCCTTATGTGGTACCCGTCGTGTTGCTCATGAAATTATTGTATTACAAATTATTCTTCCAATCTTAGAGCGAAACTTATGTGTTACCCAAAGAAAAAGTGAAAGCCGCGTTGATAATACGAAATTGAAATATTACTGCAAATTTCATTACAACTACTACTTGAATGATAAAAATGGAAACACAGTTAAAACATAAAAGATTATCTACATTACATCCGTATCATTTATTCTAGATTTAAAATAAGGAGATGTGGCATGTTTGTTAATGATACAGCTTTCCGTCAGAGACCAAATGACGTAGATGTGAGTAACTATAGGTCAATTTCGTACGAACTTCAACAATGACAAAAATGCATACCACATATCAAGCTATAAAAGGCTCCGCCATAACAAGACGTAACACAACTCAAACGAGAGAGCCAATGGACTGATATATGAACTAAACAACAAATAAAAATCGAATATAAGATACAACAACAAACGAAAACTATTTAATTTCAGGCTTCTGTCTTGGGACAGGCACATACAGAATGTGGCTGTTAAAAATTAATAATTCTATTATTCATTGCAATATAACAATACTTTCAGTTATCATTCAGCTCCAGAATCACTGGAAGACGACCATGTATATGAGCGAACAAATCACCAATATCTAGAGCTAATGGGAATTCCACAGGAAAGTCATTATTCTGATATTAAGGAAGAAGAGGATGAACTTCAACTGAGTGGAAATGATGATAGGGATGATTATGAAGAAATTGATTGACAAAAAGAGCTTCTTTTGTAACATCTATAATACTTGGCCCTTTTAACGCAGTTATTCATGTTGTCATGAATATAAGAAAATAAAAAAAAAATTCTTCTTGTTCATGTTGTTTTCTAATTAAAAAATATATCAAATTACAACTTCTCTAACTGAGTATTTTGACTGTTATTACCACTAAATAAATGCAAGGTTATTTTCTAGTATTTCTAATAAGGTTAACTAGTGTCTTGCATTTGGTAATATTGCTGTCGTGTGATGGACCACGATAATCATTATGAGCCAATCGTAATATCGAATTTTTTACAGGATATCAAAAGGAGGACGGTTTGGTATTTGAACGTCATAATCACCAAATCTGATATCATATTCGTTATTTACATAGCAGAGCTTTGTGCATCTATTATGAGTCGAGTGTTGATTGTTTTTGTGGTCTTTTCTGCTGTAAAATAGTTTCTTTTCATGTAGTAAACGTAAAATGATAGGTAATACATCTTCTGACATCAGACTCGGACTTCTCTTGAACTGAATTTTAATGTGCGTATTGTTATGCGTTTACTTTTCTACATTGGCTAGATGTATAGGGGGAGGATTGAGATCTCATAAACATGTTTAACCCCGCCGCATTTTTGCGCCTGTCCCAAGTCAGGAGCCTTGTATTATTTTTAATTATAGTTTCTTGTGTACAATTTGGAGTTTAGTATGGCGTTCATTATCACTGAACTAGTATATATATTTGTTTAGGGGCCAGCTGAAGGACGCCTCCGGGTGCGGGAATTTCTCGCTGCATTGAAGACCTGTTGGTGACCTTCTGCTGTTGTCTGTTCTATGGTCGGGTTGTTGTCTCTTTGACACATTCCCCATTTCCATTTTCAATTTTATATAGTTGAATCGAAGTAGAAATCCAGACAACACATGTCACAACATTCATTAACCAATCAAAAGGGAACATTCCCAATTGCATCTAGCACTTCGCGTTTTTCTTACGTCTGATCTTACTTCCGTACAATTTTCACTGTTTCATTATGCAACGTTTATCGAAACACAATTATGATACGTTAACAGTCTTATAAAGGTTATAATGGGACGAGAATTATTCAACAAGTATATGAAAGTAAAGCATAAAAACGAAACAACGGGCAGACAAATACTAGTCCAAAACACACTATAAACAGAAAACTAAAGTTTTAATCGAATAAATCCAACTATAAACAAGATGTTCTCTCAGATAATCAAAAATTTCTGCTTACTAGCGGCGCATGTCATGTTCATCAAAGAGAGTACACATTTAATGATTTTCGCATTTAAGATTAATCAAACGTGGAAAGAACACGTTGTTTTCCATAAATACCATCTTTTGATATTTTCAGACTTTTCAGTGATTTTCCTTATCGATTTTTGAAATTTTCAAGAAATTTTAAAGTATTTTCTTTTAATAAAAGAAGCAGTATTTATGTATCACTAGTTTTTACTGTTTATACAGTATATTCGCTTTGTTTCTATCTTTATCATATCTATTCGTTTGGTCTGATTATTATTGGTCGAGTGTCACACAAGATCGTAGATACAGCAAATATAAGATGATAAAATAATAAGAATTGACTTAATTTGCATTAGATTTCAGTAATTGCGAGTCATGATTTTTACAGTTTGCTCTTATAAAATTAAGAATGGAAATGGGAAATGTGTCAAAGAGATAACAACCCAACCAAACAGCAGAAAACAGCCCAATATTCACCAATGGGTCTTCAACAAATCGAGAAAATCCTGCACCCGGAGGCGGGATTCAGCTGGCCCCTTAACAAAAATGTGTACTAGTTCAGTGAAAATGGACGTCAAACTAAACTCCGAAACATATAAATGAACTACATAAAAAAAAAAAAACACGCAAGACTAGCAAAGGCCAAATGATCCTGACTTTGGGAACAGGCGCAAAAATGCGGCGGGGTTAAACATGTTTTGTGTGATCTCAACCCTCCTCCTATACCTCGAGCCAATGTAGAATAAACAAACACACAGCAATACGCACAGTAAAACACAGTTTAAAACAAGTCCGAGTCCGATAAGTTTGAATGTCCCTCTGGTACATGTATCTTTCGCCTCTCTTTTATAAACTGCAGTGTTTCAGCTTTTTTTTTATTCAGTAGAATGAGAAGTTAATGAATTGGATGTTGCAATATTCCGATTTGCTGTAAGTTAAAACTGGATATTTACCTATTATGTGCTAAACTTGTGGAGCTTGAACTACCAATGACAGCACCGGAGTTTACCTTTGGCCTTCGATTAGTTTCATGATGTACACAGCTCATAATGAAAGTTAATGAAGACAGATTAATGACCGAACCAACAACATTTTTCTTACATTTCTATATTCGTCATTTTTACACCATTATTGTCGTACATAGTTTCTTAATTATTTGTAAATTTATAAACTTGAGATTGATTATAAACTAGAAATATATTCATACCCCTGTCTTTGGGAACGAAGGTACGTTTTGCTTTACATGTGTACAGAATGTAACAATACACAGAACAGTCCAGTCAAAATATAAACACCTCAAGTTAATAAATTAAAATGGACATATAAATATCCATGCAAAATCTTATTAAGGGTCCCTGTGTGGCCTATGGTGAAGAAGAATAGTTAATCTTCATAAAATATCCTTTTCATATTTGAAAATTAAAGTTTTGAACAATATTTATGTAATTATAACTTAGCCATTGTATGCATTATTGTAGATAAGCCATAACTGTATAAGAACGTCTGCGTTCACATATGAAGCTGTGGTTCTGTGAATATCAGAAAAGATTCCAGAACTTTTTGCCTTTCTGTGATACTATTTTATGGTAAATTACACAACAGTTTATGCTGGTTTTTTTTTTATATTATTTTCAGTTAAAACCTCCTCGCAAATCCACGTAGAAGTCATATCGTTTATTCTTTGAAAATCCAAATTACCGTTGGAAATGAAAAGACAATTATCTGAAAGCGTTAATCTTATATTGCATGATATGGCAATTGTAGACAAAATTATAATAATTTATATATACTCCCTTTGCTAAAATCGAGACAAAACTTGCCGAGCCGTGTTTCTAAAACCTCATGCAAATCAATTTTAAATTTTCCTATAAAGAACATATAACTAAATCATAATAATTGTCTGATCCTATAAGATCTACATTTTATATTTGCAAAAAATAATGTTGCTATTTTTCAAGAGATATTGTAAAAAAAAAAAAAAAAAATAAAATGTGGAGAAAATATCATCGTGACAGCAATCCAACGATACAAAGAATGAATGAAACGGTAAAGAATGAATTTCTGTAAAGAATGAATTAGACGACAACGGACGAATTGCTAGTTAATTCTCAAATCCATATTTCAGAAAGAGTGTAGACCAGAATAGAACGGACCAGATATATCTATCAAAGAGACGGTTAATATCAGGATGATTTTGATGGTCAATTTTCATATTATAAATTGTGTAAATTTTATTTGGTAATTACAAGACCCTACGTTTAAGATCACATACGGTGTGTTTGGTCTTTTTTGTAAACTCGTTTAATATGTATGCTGAAAAACATGTTATATATTGAATTTAGGATTTCGAATGCACCTGATGTATTGAATACCAGAAACGCATGACGTGCCCATTGAAATATTCTCTATTCTATGTCACTGAATTATGTCGATATCGCTGCTTGTGAACCTTCAATTCTTCAGTGGTTATGTGTTTGCATGAAATGGTTGTGAATTTCTATTATATAAATCATCAGTTATGGAAAGCATGGACCATGGTGCTTTATTCTCAGAACATCAACTTTATTTAAAAAAAAAAAAAAAAAAATTGAACAAAGCAGGAATTAGAAAAAAAATCGGTTTCCTAATTCTAAGCAAATTATCTTTAAAAAAGAATTTTAGAATCAAATAATTAATTCTAAATCTTGCATTGGCAACTACATATATGCGGTTTGGGTTGTGGTAATCGTTGAACAACGTATGGTGATCTATAGTAGCTAACAACATTTTGTCTACGGTGGATATATATAGTTGTTTAAATTAAAATTAAGGAATTAATAGTGCTGTAGTTGAACGGTTGTCACCGTCAATTGAGGTTTTTATAGTAGCAAAATTACGTTCCTAATTGTTATAACACAGTGGTAACTTGTCAGAACTTCAAGATAACATACCAGAGTACACTTCAAAAGGATCTTCATTGTTTGTTATTATTACATTATTGTTTTTACACAATGGTCATTGTCCGAACTTGTGGCAAACATGACAGGATGTTGCGTTCAATTATTAATTAATAATCGAATGTTTTGTTTAATATTTCTGTCACTGTTACAGCTTTTATAATTCTATCTATATTACAAGTAAGTATTTTGATTAGTTAACGTCATTCAGATTGATGATTGTTGGTTGCTTAACGTCCAGTGGCAAATATTTCATACATGTTCAGGACGAGAACAAATTAACAATAAATACAACAGGTAGGTCCTGTATTAGAGGCCGTCCGGGATGAAGGTCGGGGAAATGTGTAGTGCCACTGAAAAATAAGGGTATATTAGATAGAGTAGACATCAAAGAGTTGTTACTAGGGTTTTTAAAGTGCAAAGAGCGTGGCAATCTTTTTACACGAGGCATCGTATTTTACGTCCCCAATCTGACCAGACGTGTCTGCGTAATTGTACATCCCACACAGCCAAACGGACTTCCTACTTTGGCAAGGGTTTTATTGCCGGTCGGCAAAAGAAGACCACGAGTGACCAAATGTGTATTCCTCGGGCATTCAGACAACAATCCAACAACAACTACTTCAAATAAAGACCAGATCTAACTATATTGTTCATTAGAATGGCAACTGTCCTTCATGCCTTCAATAAAATTAATCAAAATTGATGTCTGAACTGTATGACAGCAATTTGAAAACCAGAAGCTCCGCAACATGTAACACGATAGGTAAAAATATTGGAAAATAAAGTATATTTTGTCTTGAAAGAACACAGAAGTCACTCATAAAACGCTGATAGAACACATATCCTAACAATACTTTTGTCATTTAGATTAAACTGGT